TGGCATAATCACAACTCACTACATCAGCCGCCCAAGTAACTGGGACTACAGGCACGCACCACCATGCCTGGCTCATTTAAATATATATATATATATATTTTTTTTTTTTTTTTTAAAGACAAGGTCTTATTATGTTGCCTAGGTTGGTCTTGAACTCCTGGGCTCAAGCAATCCTCTCACCTTGGCCTCAAAAAGTGCTGGGATTACAAGCGTGAGTTACCATGCCTGGCCATTTTTTTTTCTCTCTTAATTGTTTTAGGTTCTTGGGTATTTTTTGAATCATGAGTAAAATAGACGTAACATTCCTCAATTTAACCATTCATAAGTGTACAATCAGTGGCCTTAAATACATTCACAGTGCTGTGCAGCTGTCATCACTGTCTATATCAAACTTTTTCCTCCCTCCCAGCAAAGTCCTGCACCCATTCAACAGTAACTCTCCCTCCCTGATCCCAGCCCCCAGGAACCTCAATTCTACCTCCTGTCTGTGCATTTGCCTGTTCTGGGGACCTCAAATAAGCTAGATATAGAAGGACATTTCGTCACTTCAGTTTTCTCACACAAGTGAAATCATACAGTATTTATTTATTTATTTATTTATTTATTTATTTTTTTGAGTTGAAGTCTCGCTCTATCACCCAGACTGGAGTGCAGTGGCTGCTCCCGGCCCCCGCAGCCTCGACCTGCTGGGCTCCGGCAATCCTTCCGCCTCAGCCTTCCAAGTAGCTGGAACTACAGGTGCGTGCTACCACGCCCGGCTAATTTTTTGATTTATTGTAGAGATGAGGTCTCGCCAAGTTGTCCAGGTGGGTCTCGAACCCGTGGGCTCAGGCAATCCACTCACCTCAGCCTCCCAAAGGCATGGGATTACAGGCTGAGCCACTGAGCCCGGCTAGTATTTTTTTTTCAGAGTCTCACTGTCACCCCAGGCTGGAGTGCAGTAGCATGATCATGGCCACTGCAGCCTTAACCTGCTGGGCTCAGGCAATCCTTCTGCCTCAGCCTTCCAAGTAACTGGAGCCACAGGTGCACACCACCCCGCCTGGCTAATTTTTTTGATTTTTTTTTTTTTTGAGTTGGAGTCTCACTCTGTCGCCCAGCCTGGAGTGCAATGGCACATTCCTGGCCACCATAGCCTTGACCTGCTGGGCTCTGGTGATCCTTCCACCTCAGCCTTCCAAGTAGCTGGAACTACAAGCACACGCTACCATGCCCAGCTAATTTTTTGATTTATTGTAGAGATGAGGTCTTACAAGTTGCCCAGGTGGGTCTTGAACCCGTGGGTTCAGGTAATCCACTCACTTCAGCCTCCCAAAGCATGGGATTACAGGCTGAGCCACGAGCCTGACTGGTTTTGATTTTTTGTAGAGATGAAGTTTCAGCAAGTTGCCCAGACTGGTCTCAAAACCCTGGGCTCAGGTGATACTCTTGCATCTGCCTCCCAAAATGCTGGCATCACAGGCATGAGCCACCAAGCCTGGTAGTATTTGTCTTATTGTATCTTGCATATTTCACTCAGAGACATCCTCAAAGTTCATCCATGTCATAGCATGTGCCAGAATTTCCTTCCTTTTTATGGCTGAAGAATATACTGTGTGTATAAGCCACATTTTATTTATCCATGTTTTTCATTGAGGGACCCTTGGATTGCTTCCACCATTTTTGAGTCAGGTCTTACTCTGTTACCCAGGCTGAGTGCAGTGGCACGATCACAGCTTTTCACAGCCTCGGCCTCCTGGGTTCAGGTGATCCTTCTGCCTCTACCCCCTGAGTAGTAGCTGGGACAACAGGCATGTGCCACTACGTTTGGCTAAATTTTTAAATTTTTTTGTAGAGACAGTATTTCACTATATTATCTAGGCTGGTTTCAAACTTGTAGGTTCAAGTGATTCTTCTACCATGATCTCCCAAAATGCTGGGATTACAGGTGTGGAACACCACCCCCAGTCTGGCTTTCACCTGTTGACTATTGTGAAGAATGCAACAATGAACATGGGGTACAGATGCCTGTTGCCATTGTTTGTTTTTTTTTTTTGTATGCGTGCCTAGAGTTTAAATTGCTGAGTCATGTGGTAGTTGTATGATTAACCTCTTGAGACGTGGCCAAACACAGGCAACTGAAGCCTGTTTTGATGCCTGTTCTTCCTGGGTCTATCTGAACAAGTGGAGCTCCCACCTAGGCGGGCCAGGCCAGCAGGACTCACTGTACTCCGACAGCATCAAAGCCTGACCCATACCTCTCTCCTCTTTCCCCAGATCTCAACATGCCTTCCGAGACACCCCAGGCAGAAGAGGGGCTTGCAGGGTGCCCCCACCTCTCAGAGGCACACTTGGGGAAAGGGGGCCAGAAGAAGTCACTCTTGGGGGATAAGGAAGCCAAGGAGCACCTGTGGATCCGGCCTGATGCCCCCAGCAGGTGCACCTGGCAGTTGGGCAGGTCTGTTGCCGACTCCCCACATCACCACGAGGCCCAGTAAGTCATGGGTTTTGATCACTGTGTGGTCCATTCATGACCTCAAGGGGAGAAGCTTGTTGCCTGGAAGCCACATAGCCATGAGGACTGGGGGTATAAGCCCTGGTAATCATTCTGGAGGATTGGTGAGCTGGAGGTGGGAGCACCTTACAATGAGTCAGCTGAGGCTCAGAGAGGCCCAGGCCTCTTTACATGGTAGCATAGTACTTAGGTCAGTGCCCAACAAGACAGTAGAGGCTCAATAAATAAATGACTGTGTCTACTTTGAGTGGCCGGTGGAGGTGAATTTGTAAGCCAAGTCTGTCTGGCTGCACATGCAGGCTTGTCAGAGGTAAGTACATGTCTTTTCAGTGACTGGGGTCATGCCTGCCCTTTCTGCCTAACTCTAGGTCATGAACTATCTCCTGGCAACTCAATATTTTTCTGTAGTGGGTTCTTCTGATGGTTGCACTGAGACTGGGGTGAATAAATCACAATTTGTTCAGCCCTCTATTGGGTAGATGTTTGCAATTCTCTCATTTCAAATAACGGCAGTAGCCAGGTGTAGTAACCTGCAATCCCAGCACTTTGGGAAGCTGAGGCAGGAGGATTGCTTGAGCCCAGGAGTTCAAGACAGCCTGGGCAACATAGTGAGACCCCATCTCCACAAAAATACTGAAAAATTAGCTGGGCATGGTGGTGTGCACCTATAGTCCCAGCTACTCAGGAGGCTGAGGCCAGAGGATCACCTGAGCCCAGGAGGTTGAGGCTGCAATGAGCTGTGATCATGGCACTGTACTGCAGTCTAGGCAATAGAGTGAGACCTTGACTCAAATAAATCAATAAATAACTGCAGTAGAAAATATTACAGACTCATTTTATCAACAAATCTTTCCTGAGTATATACTGTACTTCATGTCCTGTTTTAGATGCAGAAGATATATTAGAAAAGAGCAATAAAAATCTCTGCCCCACACCATGAGATGTAAATCGAGCTCACTAAATAAATCTCAAGGTTATCTTTGATTATTTCCTTAGTATAATCTACTTGATATAGAACAATGGATCAAAGAATGTGTTTTGCAGATGTTGATTTTTCTTCCATGTATGCTGCTACCAGCATTTACAGTTCTTTTTTTTTTTTTTTTTT